ATCTCCGACACTACGGCATTCGATTAAGTGAGTATTCTCTTTCATAGAATCATTTAGTATTTCTTTTAAACTGTATTTGCTTATCCTCAAATAGTTTATACATTTTCCTATATCACGTTCTCTTTATATGGGTGTTTTATGGTAGACTTAAAGTTATTGAGATATCCCATTAACGACCATTCGAAGAAAACCGTACTTTTTTGTCAATGATAATAGTATTGATGAAGAGATAATACATTTAATAAGTACTTGTAATAAAACTAGTATTCTGACTATGCTTCCGATATTTCCCTTGGAAAGTTTAGGTTTACATGTTTTATATAAATCATATGGCAATAAGAAAAATAAGTAGGACATATTATGCTATGATAAAGCCTTTATGCTTATTTTGCTTATATTTCCAGATCATGCCGCGGCACCGTTTCCAGGAGAGTTGGCTTCCCAATGCCCTCTTCAAGACTTGGCTGGCAAGAGTGCCAGACGACACCACCAGGGCATACTGCCAGGTAAAACATACTTATACACTGTAACTTACACAGCAAATAGTTTTCTTCCACATGCAAACACACATGTACACGCACAAACGTGCATACACACACACACACACACACACACGCACACACACACGCACATGCGTGCATATGCACACATATACACACGCACATGCGTGCATATACACACGCACATGCGTGCATATACACACGCACATGCGTGCACATACACACGCACATGCGTGCACGCACATGCGTGCATATACACACGCACACACACACGCACATGCGTGCATATACACACGCACATGCGTGCATATACACACGCGCATGCGTGCATATACACACGCGCATGCGTGCATATACACACGCGCATGCGTGCATATACACACGCGCATGCGTGCATATACACACGCACATGCGTGCATATACACACGCACATGCATTGCGGCACATATACACACGCACATGCGTGCATATATATACACACGCACATGCGTGCACATGCGTGCATATACACGCACATGCGTGCATATACACACGCACATGCGTATACACACGCACATGCGTGCATATACACACGCACACATGCGCATATACACACGCACATATACACACGCACATGCGTGCATATACACACGCACATGCGTGCATATACACACGCACATGCGTGCATATACACACGCACATGCGTGCATATACACACGCACATGCGTGCATATACACACGCACATGCGTGCATATACACACGCACACATACACACGCACATGCATATGCGCATGCACATACACAGGCGTACACGTGAATACATACATATATGGGTACATGCATATGTACCAAAACAATCTTTTAATTTCAGTCTTTTTTTTTCTTCATTAGGTATGCCATAAGCACTTGATGGCCGATATCACCGGCCTCAAGTACCATAGGACGTCGAGGCAGCATGTGTCCCTGGAGGAGAGGCAGCGGGCAACCAGCCGCAGGCAAGAGAGTGCCACCCCCGAGGAGCGCCCTGGCGCGGCTGAAGAGCAAAGGGGTTTTCCTAGTGCTGTACAGCATGCAACGCTGCTCTTCATTTTGTTTTTAGCGGAGCACAACTTGCCGTTATATACTCCAAATTAGTGTTGTGCAATTCTGATAGTAAAGAGTATTTTTATACAATGGAGAAATTTAATATTTCAAATACGTTTACCATAAAATAAAAATAATTAGTACATACTGATTAATCTGTTTAAATGTTTATTTTTCCGTCTTTTCAGTCTTTGCGATGACCTCCTGGAGCTGAACCGGAAAATGTTCCCTGATTCTACCATCGGAGCCCAGATGGCCCTCAAAAGAAAAAAATGTTCGCAGCAAACAAAAATTTTAGGAGAATTCCTTGCCAAGCAATTGGCAAGAAAGTTACATTACAAATTTAGCCTGATCATAGATGAGACGACCGACTGCACAGCTGATAAAGCATGTGCCTTAGTTGTCAAGTATTCCAACAAAGAGACCAATACAATTAAGACGTCCATGCTAGACATCATCAGCTTGTATGATGAGAATGATGGATCGTCAGGGGTGTCTTTATTTAACCTCATTACAAAAACCCTGAATACCTACCAGATCCCTTTCACGAATATGGTCGGCTTTGGTGCTGATGGGGCATCAAATATCATGGGTGCTGTAAATTCTGTGAGCAGTAGACTAAAAGCGCACATGCCTGGCATCACCATCGTTAAGTGTGCGGCTCACAGCATACACTTGTGTAGCAGCGAAGCAGCGAAAACGCTTCCAAGGACCTGTGAAGAACTGGTCCGAAATGTTTACACCTTTTTCTGCCATAGCGCAAAAAGGAAATATGAATTTAAAGAATATCAGGTATTTTGTGGGGTCAAGCCTCACAAAATATTGCATCCATGTGCAACAAGGTGGCTTTCCTTAGCACAAGCTGTAGAACGATTACTAGAACAGTGGCAGCCACTAAAGCTCTATTTTAATGGTATCAGACTTGTTGAAAAATTGTCATCAATTGACAGAATTTGTGAGGCCATGGATAATGAAGCCGTTTATTGCTACCTAAAAATTTTGAATTATATGTTGCCACATCTGAACAGAGTGACTTTGGTGTTTCAGGCCAAAGGACCTACACTACACTTGGCCCATGACATTCTTACAAATTCATATCTAAAGTTGTTGAATTATTTCTGCCAGCCAACAGCACTACAGAAAATGAAACTAAATGAAATAGACCCTGCAGACCAAACAATTCATCTACCAATAAATCAAATTTACCTAGGGGAGGATGTACACAGCCTCTTTCAAGCACCAAACTATGAAAACCACAAGTTGGTTATGGAAATTAAAACCACCTGAAGAACCTTCCTAATAACCGTGTGCCAGCAAATAAGAAAACGGTTTGACTTAAACAATTCGTTATGGATAATGGCTACACACTTACAACCAAAGAACATCATGGATCCAAATCTCAGACCGAGAGTTCCATCTTTGACCCAACTTGGGTAAGGAAGTCCCAAAAATAAACAATTATGATATGCAGGCACTGGCTGACCAATGGCGAGATATTGCCTGGGAGACCTTCCCAGAGCAATATAGGATTCCTCAGTGTGAGGTTGAAGAATTTTACTAATATTTTTTAACTATCATGGATACTATGGGCAAACCAAAGTAAGAATGCCTAGCGCATTTTGCCTTTGAAATTCTAGCGCTCCCAACATCGAACACAGATGTAGAAAGACTATTCTCTAAATTCAATCAAATAAAAAGAAAAGAAAGGTCAAACCTCAAGTTGGAGACCATAACATCCCTTATTCATTTAAATGAATATGCCAAAATGAATATGAAACTATGCGAAGATATGGTTTCGCTTATGTGATTTGTTTTACAATGTATATCGTTATATATATTAATTTTATTTTGTTAATTTTTTCCAATGTAAATGTTTGTGGTGTAGGTTATATATTTATTGAAATAAATCTAAAACGAATTTATATTTGTTTCATAGCATTTTACTGTGTATTATAATAGTTTCCCCAAGAATCATTCCTTATTCTCCCTGATTCTGTTTAAAGAAAACGGCCGAAAGGACGCTTCCGAAAAATTCCCATCCCTGGACTCCAGAGAAAACAGATAGACATTGTTTTTTTTCGATTATTTAATTTTATTGTGTTCATTCTCATTTATATATATCTTTTCATATTTGTGAGGCAGTGGAACACATCGGGAACAACTGTGACATCGGATATCTAAGGTAATAGTTATTATTTTGGTTATGTTTATGTATGCTGTCACTCCAGTAAAATACAGAACCCGTAATGTTGAGTTTTTTCTAGAACCCTTTTAATTTTGTATTTTATCACTGTCTATTTTATTTTTACTAACATCAGACGTGCGCACCAGTCAACATGGAGCTCCCCTTTCTGTAGTGGTTGAGAGGGAATCCATCCCAAAGTTTTCGGCCGAGACCTTTGCATCTTAGCCTCTTCGCCGGAACCAGGAAGTTGAAGGCTGGATCCGCCAGATAGAAAACCTGTCTCGCCCATCAACTGAGGAAAATTTCATCCGAAATGCAAGAGCACACTGTAGGGGACCAGCCGACCTGACAATTAATAGCCCTGCATTTGACAGAATTACGTCATGGTCAGAATTCAAAGCAAAGCTAAGACTGAAGTTCCTCGGGACATGCTCCTCTGGTGATTTCTTCCGTCTGTTCTATGAGAAGAAACTTAGGAGTGGGCAAGCACCCCTGGATTTTTACGTGGACCTTGAGGGGGCTGTATATCAAGGTGTCCGGGATTATCCTGAAGCTATCGGTGAACCGGATGAACTCATCAGACGAGTATTTCTGCATGGACTTCCTGGATGGCTCAGGGAGATGTGTGCTCTCTCTGAGAATGGATCTCTGCAGCACCTTATTGACGCTTCCGAACGTGTCTGGAATGCTCGTGTGGGAGTCAGGGCGACGGATGAAGGCCCACCATGTTTATATCCTTCAGGTGCATGTGCTGCAGGTCGAGTGGCTGCCATTGACGATGACATCTCATCCTTCCGACGAGTCAATATGTCTGCACCCCAGTTACCACCTCGACGTGCTACGCCCTGAACACAGAGCAGCAGGCAGTCAGACAGTTCAGTGGCAGACTGACGATCATGCTAGGAGTTGAGGGGCAGAGGTTTCATACCTTTGTTGACACAGGAAGCCAGGTTACATTGATGGAGAAGGAAGCTGTGGGACGGTTGTCACCTCGCAGAAGGCATGTTGCAGCTAGAGGACTTAGGGGAGTCTCAGGAAAGGAACTTGTTACAGAGGAAATGGATGTAGAGTTTTGGCTGAGACCGGGAAGAAGACTCTTATCATAGAGTTATGATTGTAGATGGCGTTTCTTTCCCAGGGGATTTGCTGGTTGGTACAGACTTTTTGAGAAGGGTCGACCACAAGATTGGAGGCATATTTACAACTTGATGGCATGGTTTATCCTATAAACTATGAAGCTGGAGAATCTTTAGCCCTTATATCTTTCATTCAAAAGACAGCTCAGCATGCAGTAACCCATCTTGGACCCAAAAGTAAGACTGTTTGCCCAGCCCATTCAGGAATCTATGTACCATGCAGTATTTCCCCAAGCCTCGATGGAAAGTCTGTGCTAGTAACTGGAAACGCATCAAAATTAGAGGTGCCACGGACTTTGGTGACTCCAGTGAAGGGAGTGTGCTCTATTTTTGTTGTCAACTTCAGTGCAAAGCCAGTTCTACTTAAGAATGGAGCTCACTTCTGTACTGCTGAGGAAGTACATGTGTTGCCTGACCTTGATCAAGATACCTGTGTCCTGTAATTCTTCATCAACAGTGAATCTGTCTCCAACTATGAAGCACGAACAAATTACGAGTAATAACTTTGAAAAACAGCCAGAGGAAATGCAATTTACCTGGGAAGAGGATGACTTTAATACAGTTTATGGTCTCCAGCTTACTGGCCCTGAAGATGATGACTTGGCAGAAATTTGTCCAGTGTTACCCTAGTGATACTGTTGCAAGAATTGATGCTGCTTTGCAGGAGAGTCCCATTGCTGAGGTAGCTTTGATAGAAAAACAGATGGAGTAGAACTGGCATCTGAACCATCACTCGGACATCTTACTACAGCAGAAAGAGAAAAGATAAAGCAAGTTCTCGTTAAGTTTCCCCGTCTCTTCTCGGGTGATAAAACTCAGTTTGGTTTAGTTCCAGGAGTTACTCACAAGATCGTTACAGGTGACACGCAACCCATCTGTACTCGACAATGGAGGCTGCCTGAATCGGCTAAGCAGAAGATAAGGGAGGAGTGTGACCAGATGCTGTCTGCAGGGATAATAGAGCCTTCGACACCACCTTGGCTCGCACCTGTAGTTCTTGTAAGAAAGAAGGATAACAGCATGCGGTTTTGTGTAGATTATCGCAACCTCAATGCGGTCACAGTTGCTGACTCGTATCCACTACCCAGAATGGATGAGTTGGTTGATGAACTCCGTGATATCCAAGTATTCTCCCTCCTTGACAGCAGGTCTACTTATTGGTCTGTCCCTGTAGAACCTGCTGACAGGCCGAAAACCGCTTTTAGTGATGGATACCGCCTTCTTCAGTTTCGACAAATGCCATTTGGACTGCTCCTACAACTTTCCAGAGAACGATGAATGTGGTCCTTTCTCCAGTTCTAGGTAAACACACACTTGCATACCTAGATGATGTGTATAGTCGTGACTTCACTAAGACTCCTTGATGGTGCAGGGTTTAAGTTGAATATGGTAAAGTGTGAGTTTGCTGTACGACAGTTCCTTCTTAGGTTTCAAAATAACCTCTAAAGGAATTTTGCTGGACCCGGAAAAAGTTAGAAGCATCAGAGAAATGCCGCCGCCCCGCAATGCCAAGGGAGTACGACGATTCCTTGGGGCCACAGGTTTCTTTAGAAGGCACATTCATCAGTATGCAGCCATTGCAGCACCTCTTACACAACTTACCCGCAAGGACCAGCCATTTGGTTGGGGACGAAAGGAACAGGAAGCATTTAACATCTTGAAAGAGAAGCTTGTATCAGCACCAGTTTTACGTAAACCTCGTTTTGAGGATCCTTTCGAAGTTCATACAGATGCATCACAGACTGCCATTGGTACTTGCCTTATGCAACGAGATGCAGATGGTAATCCAGCCGCTATTGCTTATTTCTCGAGAAAACTTCGTGGACCGGAGACCAGGTATTCTGCAACTGATTCTGAAGCCTTAGCAGTTGTAGAGGGAGTAAGAGCTTTTGACCCGTACATATATGGGCGCCAGTTCACAGTGTATACAGATCATCGGCCATTTACATATTCACCAGTAAGACTAAAAACCCTCGCATGACCAGGTGGGCTTGTGAACTCTCCCACTACCAGTTTAAGATCGTGTATAAACAGGGAACCCTGCACCGTGTTCCTGACATGTTATCCCACTCAGTGGCACAGGTTGACCTCGCTAATGTTGACCTAACTACAATGCGTGAAGAGCAAATGAAAGATCCTTTTTGGCAAGAAGCAATCAACTACTTGGAGGAGAAGACCTTGCCTAAGAAGAAGATTCTGCTTACTTTGGACGAGTTTACACTTCAGGATGGAGTTCTTTACCATCTTCGGCAGTTTCCTACACATGCAGTCCATCAGTTGGTAGTCCCAAGGGTTCTTCGTAAGGCTGCACTTAAGCTTGCTCATGATAGTTCCTTTGCATCCCATCCCGGTATTTTCAGGATGTATCAGAAACTCAAGGACCTCTTTTACTTTCCTAATATGATGCGAGATGTGAAAGCATATGTTACAGTTTGTGCAACATGTCAACGACGAAAGGGGACACAGCACCACACTACTAGCTCCACTGTCTAAGTTTCTGACCTGGTGAGTGTGGTGTGGTACAAAAAGTAATGGTTTGTACTTCATTACAAACTTACTATATACCTCAAGTTGAAGACACTTCCATCTAAAGAAGCTGAGGTTGTAGCAGATGCT